ACACCATGACCACCGAAGCACTTATAAAGGAAAGCATTTAACTGGAGCTGGCTTATAGTTTCAGAGGTTTAGTCCATTATCCCTATGGCAGAAACACAGCAGTGTGCAGGCAGGTATGGTGCTGGAGAAGGAGCTGAGAATTCTACATCTTGATTCCCAGGCAGCAGAAGGAAACTGTACACCACACTGGACATGGCTTGAGCACATATGAGACCTCAAAGCCCGCCCCCACAGTGATACACTTCCTCTAACAAGGGCACACCTCCTAATAGTGTCACTCCTTGTAGGCCAAGCATTCAAACACATGAGTTTATGGAGGTCATACCTAGTCAAACCACCACATGGTCTCAAATAAAAAAAAAATGTAGGGTGTGGTGGCCTGCATTTATAATCCCAGGGTTAGGGTGATGTTGACAGATAGACCCCTGGTGCTCCCAACCCAGACAGCCCCATCCATTTGGTGAGTTCCAGGACAAGTGAGAGACCCTGTCTCAAAATACGAAGCACCTGAGGAATGACCCTCAAGGTTGACCTCTGACCTCCACACATATGTACATGCCAGCACATACAAACAGACACATACACACAAAACTTCATGTCTGGAGCTCGGCCATTAAGAGAACTTACTGCTCTTGCAGAGAAACCAGGTTCAATTTCAATTCTCAGCAACCACATGGCGGCTCACAGCCATCTGTAACTCTAGTTCCAGGGGATCCAACACCTTCTTCTGACTGCCATGGGCACCAGGCACACACAAAATGTACATATAAACACACAGGCCAAACACTCATACACATAAAAATAAAACCTCTAAAAAAAGAAAGGAAAGGAAAGGACACAAACTTTCTGCCCAAGTCTGGCACTTGGAACTGTGTGATGTGTGCGTGCAGTGGATCAGTCGCTCTGCCCAGGACAAATTACCATGGTCAGGGACACAGCAGATCTTCCCATCTGCCACCTGGTCCTGGTCCTGCTCAAACTTCCCAAACAGCCCAGCTGATGAGCCAGACAGATGAAGACCCTAGAGGACCCTGCCACCCCTGGCAAGGAACAGCAGCCAGGCGAGAGAGTTACCTAGCTGGGTTATTGTCACACTTTAACATTTCAGACCAGTTATTTTATCTAGAGTTATCCAGCAGAGTCCTGCCCAAACCTAGGCAGTCTTACAAAAAGAAGATGTTGTGCCATGAGGACTGGGCTCCCAAAGACTGTGCCTGGCTGACCTGTGGGTTGGGAATGCTCAGAACCGTGACCAATTAGCCAGAACTGAAGACCATGAGATTAGAGTGTCAGGGTGAAGTTCCTCCCACAGCTCTTCTTCACAGGATCCTTAGGTCTAGAATCCTGGTTCTCCATCTTGTCAATGCTGGACCCTTTAATATAGTCCACTCCAAACCATACAATTATTTTCATTGCTACTTCATAACTGTGGTTTTCCTAGTTATGAGCCGTAATGTAAATATCTGATATGCAGGTATCTAATATGGGATAGCTTGGAAAGGTCGCTCCACCCATATGTTGAGAACCACTGTGTAGTTGGGATTTTTCTTTGGGCCACCATCCAGCTCCCAAATAAAGACACAAAAGCTTATTCTTAATTATAAATGCGTTCCCTTAGCTTAGTCCTGTCCCACTAGTTCTTTTAACTTGGTTTAACTTATTTCTATCCACCTATGTTTTGCCTCAGGCTTTTTACCTTTCATTCCTGCTTCTTCATGTCTGGCTGGCCAAATCATACTAGTGGGGAACTGAAAAGCATGATTGAATATATGAACGACACACACACACACACACACACACACACACACACACACACACACACCCATCCAGCTATATCTCTAATGTGACTTACCAACTCTTTTTTCAACTGCTTGAGAGAAACTCAAGGTTACTTTTACACAAGCCTCCTTTACACACTGAGAAACAAGTGACAATCCTCAGGAGTGAAAAGCCTATTAGAGTCACAGCAGAACTAAGGAGAGCCATTAACACCAAAGAACTTTATAAGGTTTGACAGAGGAGACAGAATTTTTATTTAATTTTTTAAAGGGGGAGGGGTCTGGGACCTTGCGTTTGGATCCCTATGATATACTTTTTACAGTGGCCTACTGAGATGAGAGGCTGAGGCACTGGGATCCCTGGCGGCTCCAGGGTCAGTACTAACAAGTCATGCTGCCTCAAGTAAGGAAGAAGGCAGGACTGATGCCTGAGGGTATCCAGTATTGATGTGTGAGCTCTAGTACACATTTTTTATGCAAAGGACGAAAGATGCTTAAAAGAATAAAGGAGAGAGGAACAGGGAAAAGGTGACCCAGGGAGCAAAGCGGCCCTGCAGAGCCCATCCATCACGCTTCTAGAACTTGCTTAGGCTTCCTTGTGTTTCTATTCCACCCTACGTCTGTTCTCATTATAAAATGGGAGAGGCTGACAAAGGACAGCATCACGTGTAGCTGAGGCCCTGGACTGCTGATCCTGTGCCCCAGTCTCAGGAGTGCTGAGATTACAGGCTTATATCACCACACCCAGCTTATTAATGGCTAGTAGGTGGGGCTTACTGTATTCAGCACCTGTATATCCTTCAAGGAGTATCACCAGCTCACCCTACAGGTGACTCCAGTAACAATGGGAACCCTCACTTCCTCAGACTCAAAAAGGGGCACAGGCCACTGTGAAAACACAGACCAGATTCAGGCAGGCTGGGGTGAGCAGCTATCTTCATCAGGTTTTCTTACAAACTGGGGAGTCAGGGAAAACCTTGTGCTTTCTGATTACACAATGGGAAAGCGGGTAACAATGGGGAGATCTCTCAGTCTCATTCCTTGTCAGTTTTTGAAGCATAGCAATTCAGCAAATTAAAGTCTAGGTGTCAAATTTTAATCTTTATTTGTGGCACTATTATGGGTTTATATGGGGTACTAAGGATTGATACCAGGGGCCAAGTAATCGGTTTGGGGGGGGGATTGGTAATGTGTGTGTGTGTGTGTGTGTGTGTGTGTGTGTGTGTGTGTGCGCGCGCGCTGGTGCTTTACACATGTATGTGGATGCCAGGTGGACTTCGTGTGCCTTCCTCATTCTATCTGTCTTATTTTGTGGAAGGATCCCTGCCTGAACGTGTAACTTGCCAACTTGCCTAGGCTGTGTGTAAACTGCGGGGGGGGAGGAGCGGGGGTTGTCTCGTCTTCCTCCCCAAGCACATAACACACACACACACACACACACACACACACACACACACACACACACACACACGGCTTCCCCTCCCCCAGCCCTGCTCCTTGAGAGGGAATCAGTAGGCAGACCCTTGCAGGAAGCGCTGGCCGAGGAAGGCAGATTTTCTAATAGAGATTGTGCTTCAAGGCCTAAACGTCCAGACTGAAACTAGGAAAGTACAGAGGCCAAAAGATAAGGGAAAGAGTTCAGAACATAAAGGATGGGAGAAAGTAGCAGACCACCTGAGCGCAACAGGAAGCAGAGCCAAGCCAGGTTTCTGCGGTGTCCGCCAGGGCAGAAATGAACGCGCAGGCTTCTCACCACGTGAATGGACTGTATCCTTTTATAGCAAGGTTCCAGGGTTCTGCCTGATCCGGGAACTCCCAGTAGGGGGCTTATTACTGAAGTCATCAAAACAAAGCGGCAGGCGGGGTTGCCTTTAGATTAACAGCACTGGGGCCTCCCACTCCTGGCTCTGGAAAAGCCTTTTGTTTCGGGAATTCTTCCCCTCAGGCAGGACTTTACTTTCACTTCAAATTTTGCCAAATCAAATTTTAAAAGCGCCCCCAAGCATCCCAATAGAGACTGCAGGAAAGAAAAAAAAAAAAAAAGAACAGGTTCTGTGCCCTCCCAGCAAACTCTGGCCCCCAGGGCAGTATCCAGTTACCGGCTTTTCTTCTGGAATAGGGTCTTCTTTCTTTCTTTAAACTACCACACAAGTTCCCTATTGTGCACCAACCTTTTCAAATACCTTGCAAATACATCCCCATTCATCCTTTTCCTGGGAGAATCTAACTGCTAGATCCTAACAGATGCTATTTAAGTAATAATAAGGTGATTGAACAATTTAATTAAAAAAAGTAAAAAGAAGCGTGGCTGTGTGGCCCACTGTGGGACGAATTAAAGGGGCCTGCAGAAGAGGGACGCGCTCAGGTGCACACACCAATTTAAACAATGGGGAGCCAGGACCAGTCCTCTAGAGAGAGCAGCCAGGAAAGGGGTGACTTGGAAAGCTGGTCCTCATCTGCGGGCTTAGTTAACTTTATTCCCTTTCTGGTTCACTGAAGTAGTCCCTGCCAGATGAGGAATCAAAACTGTCTTCCGAGAAAGGCTTTGCAGAGAGAATTTCAAGTTCAGTTCAGTGGATTCTCAAAAAGTTCTTAAAACTCCTGTCACGAGTACTTTTATTCCTCGGTTTCTTCAATGTGGGACATTAAAGAGATTAGTCCTTTCTCGGAGACGTTTACAATCTACACGGAGACTGTTAACAGCTCCATTCAACTGACCTTTGCAAGTGACCTTCCGCCTTAGTGGGGTTGGTGGTAGGAAAACAACCGGGAATCCTAAACTCAACTTCTTTGTGTCTCAGGAATGAAACGCGGGCAGCCTCCATCTGAAGGGCTAACTCGGGCTCCTTCTACAAGAAACAGTTGGCTTCAGTGGCCAAAGATTGCCCGCCCGGCGCCCACTCCCGGGGACCACAAGACCGGGGACCCGGAGATCTCCTGGAGACGCGGATACCACCTGCAGCGCGGGCCCCGCCCCAGCGCTCGGGTCCCACGCCGCAGACCCTCTCGCGGCCACGGCTGGGAAGAATGACACGCGCAGCTGCGGACGACCCAGCAGGCAGGCAGCCGCCAGCTGCCTCTTTTAGCTGGACATCCGACCCCGCTCCCCGCCGCCGCCGCCGTCTGCAGCCCGGCCTCCCCCTCCCCCACCGCGCTCCCAGGACCCGCGCGCGCCCAGCACCAGCGCCCCAGGGACGGCGAGCGCACCGCCGGCCGGCTCACCTCCCTCCTCCGGCCCGCTGTCCAGCTCGGCGTCCGAGGACCCGGGCCCGTCCTCGTAGCCCGCCAGCCCCACCAGCTCATCCTCCTCCTCGTCGTCGCCGCCATCCTCACCCTGCGGCTGCGGCTTGCCCAGCACCTGGCTCATCACGCCCACGCTCGGCTCCAGCGTCCCGCGTGGGCCGAACCCACACACACACCCCCCAACCCCGCACCTCCCCGGGCGAGCCTGGTGGCGCTGGGGGCGGCAGCGGCGCCCAGCCCCCTCCCCGCCGCCGCTGCCGGAGGAGCCAGCCGGAGCGCGGCAGTTCTCCCCGGGAGCGCAAGGGAGCGACTGCGTGACCCGAGTCACCTGACGCTTGTCACACACACGCACCGCCGGGCGCGCGCTCGCCGGCCGCAGCCACCGCTTGCCTGGCGGGGCGCCAGCCAGGGCCACACACGTTCTCCCCCTACAGAGCGCGGGTGTGCAGACGCGCGCACGCCGCCGCCCCCCGCGTGGCCCGGAGGACACCCTTGCCGAGGACCATCCCAACTGCCTCCTGCAGTGCCCCTGGCTTGCACGACGGTCTTCGAGTTTTCTGCCCTCCTAAACTGCCCCCCCAACACCTCGGTAGCCAGGCCCCCACTCCACAGCCTTATTGCCATAGACTCCGGGGCTGGGAGAAATGCACAGCGGCGGGGTAGTTTCGTAACAGTTCCTCCTTAAGGTGCCTTTTAGTTCCCACCAAGAATACTCCCAAATCAACTCTACGTAGACATCTTTCCGAAGAAATGACATATCTCGTGATTTAAATCGAAACATACTACACTAAATAATTCCTCTGCAACCTTGGGGAGAGCCTCAGGTGTATAACGCACTCGGGGTTTTTGTTTTTGTTTTTATGGCCAACTGATAGTGTCTTGGTTTAGTCTCACACAATGTTCCATGTCTTTTGTAGGAGGTGAGGGGCAGCTCTCAGATTGGAACGGTAGCGATGTGGGGTGGGGAGGTGCTTTTTCCTCCTTCGCAAACTTCTCACCGCAGGACACAATGTACCCATCCTTCCTGAAAAGAGAGAAAAAAAAAAAGTCCTGTGCATGAACTTCCTTCAATTAAGCGCATAAGAAAAACATAACAAAAGAAAACAAAACAGCGAGCCAGCCATGTGATCCGATCCCGCAGGTGCCAGAGCTCAGCAGGCGACAAGACAGAGGCAGTTCAGGCCGGAGACTTGTGGCCATGGTCCGGCCTTACTAGGGATCCTAGGAGAAATCTGAGTAAGAATAGGGTTACTAAATCACGACTCAGGTCCTGGATTTCTAGGTGGGTGGCTGCTTTTAACCAGAAAGGCCCTTCTCCAGTTAGAGGCACTAGAACTCCGCATGGCTGCATGATCAAGGTCGTTCCTAAGACACAAAAGTGTTCACTGAAGTGAAGAAACGTTTTGCAGAGGTGTAGGCAGAATTTAGGGAGTCAAGACAGGGATTATCAAGTGGGAAACTCACACCATGTCCAAACTTAGCGGGAGGGAGCCCAGGGAGCCGGAGTTCCGCAGAGCAGCCAGGAAACAGGCCTTACATTCAGTTAGGCAGTCAGCGCTGTTGGAGCCACCCTGGCCCAGCAGATGAGAGAGAGGACTACCCTGGCCTCTCTCCTCCTTCCCTGGCTCAATGCACTCTCCTGGAAATGCCTGCGATCGGTCCAGCACAACCAGAAACCCGCGGGCAAAGGAAGACTGAAACCTGGAGGTGGTCGAGGGGTGAGCCGGGAAAGCGGACCGCTGAAGCAGGTGGGGAAAGCGGACCGCTGAAGCAGGCTTGTCCACTCTCCACACAGGAAGCTGCCTTTTCTGCGCTTCACCGGAACACCATTGCCTCGGTTAGTAGAAATATTCGATGAGAAGCAGACCTCGCTACTCGCTTCTCATGAGCGGTTTTCCTTTCTGTAGAGAAGGGGCTCTGTGGCTCAGTCGGTAGAGTGCCTGTCTAGCATGCACCAGGTCGTAGATTCAGTCTCTAGCACCACCCGACATGGTGTGAGCAGCAACTCAGTGAGACTGAGGTCAGCTTGAAATCCATGAATCTGTTTCAGAAAAGGAAGTCACCTGGAGAGGATAGGGGATGTTTCCCCAGGGCAGCTGTAAAGACTTGCAGCTGTCCCAGAGAGCTGGGCTTTTTCAAGCATCAGGGAGGTCCTTAGGATACAGGCTGCCTAGCAACAGCTCAGATTCAGACCAACCACTCAGACCTACTTGCTGAGTGCGGTGGTCCAGTGAACCTAGGGTCTCCAGGGAGGACAGCTTACAACCCAACACCACCCCTCTCCCCGAAAAGATGGAAATGTGTGATGTTCCTCTGACTTCCTCAGGGAGAGAGCTCTTACTTATTTGTTTATGTGGGTGTGTATGGGTGTTTTGCCTATTTGTGTATCAGTGCACCACCTGAATGCAGTTCCCATACAGACCAGAAGAGGGTTTCAGATCCTCTGAAACTGGAGTTACAGATGGTTGTGAGCCACCACCATGTAGGTGCTGGGAACTGAACTCGGCTCTTAACTGCAGACCAGCACCAAGAAGAGAGCTTTTGTGGAGAACAGTAGCAACAGATCAGAACATATTCCAAGGTATCTAAGAATTGGCTCATTCTTGAGAATAAAATGGACCAACAGCCCTGTCATGTGTTAGGGAGACAGAGGGCAGGACTCATAGCAGCTTGAGGTCCTCCTAACCTTGTAGGGACTTCAGCTCAGGTCAAACCAGGATCGTAGTTTTAAAGTAGGAAAGAATTTCAGGACTTGCCAGTATGAAAGAAAGTTGAGTGATGGGGGAAATCCTCCTGTGTATATGTCTCTCTTTGGTTAATAAATAAAGCACTGTTGGCCAATAGGTGGGAGGAAGCACAATAGGAGGGACTAGGAGTCAAAGAGGATTCTGGGAAATGTGGTCAAGAGTAGGGAGTCGCCATGTGATCCTGGGAGGAGAGGGCGCAAGTCTGGCGTTCTCAGTAAGATAAGACCTTATAAAAATATATATTAGTAATTATGGGTTAATAATTAAGCCAGAGCTATCCATTAAGGAACCATAGCAAATGGCCAATAGCTTCATAATTAATATAGTGTCTTGTGTGTTATTTGGGGTCTAAACGGTGACGGGACTCAGGCAGAAATCCCGAAACAGTTGAGGGTTAAATTACTTGACATTTGGGAGGAGCCAGGAGCAGAGTGTCACCTATACAGTCCTGAGTTGCTAGCTAGACCAGGCTGGCCTCAAACTCACAGTGGTCAGAGATCCACCAAGACTAAAGATGTGCACCACAACAACCAGCCTTTATATAGAGATTTTGTTTTTGTAATAGTTGTGTAATAGCACAACTGACTCCATGGTAGAAATATCATTCAGGCTATGAAATAGCATGTAGATAGCACCACCTGCCAAAACAAAAACAAAGGCCTAATCTGGTCTTTTCAGGTCTCAAATCCAAACAGGTGGCTAACTAAGGTGCTTATTAACACATCAAAGTAGACCCAGGCTGCCAGGTTCTCCCAGCATCCCTCAGTCCCTACCTGTTCAGACCATGGCTGGCATACCCTGCCTCCTACCCTAAACTCCACTCCAGGGTCATATTTACTCTAGATGCTTCCAGATATCTCTGCCTCCGGCTATGCTCTCCCGTTTATCTACAGCAAATTTTCTCATCCACCACACCTAGGAGCAATCATGTCCTTCCTTGCCTCCCTCCCTCCCTCCTTCCTTCCTTCCTTCCTTCCTTCCTTCCTTCCTTCCTTCCTTTTCTTTTTACTAACCTTGCTTTTTGGCTTCTGTAATACTGCTTCTGTCTAATTGTTCTTGTTAACTGAAGTATGTCAACTCAGAACATTGAAGGGAGCCTATGTTTTCCCACCTGTCTGTTCCTGAGGATAGGATTTTCTCGCTCCTGGTTTTGGGACTCTTGCCCTTCCCAATTACTAAAACTATATGGGCCTAAAAGTCCCAGTTAAGTACATAACTTCTGTTCCTAGTTTGAATATTTCTCAACAGGTTTCCACTTCTGACAGACACATTCAAGCATCATTTGCTGACTACAACCTGCTCCTAAAGACTGCTAGCTCTGGACTTGCTGCTGATGTGGACTAGTCCAGCCGACGTGAACACTTCCTGTCTCTTCAATAGAGTCTGCAAACCAGATACTTCTGATAGATACCCCATTGCCTGAATTCCCTTTTTTGCTTTTGACTAGCATTTCAGCCTTCTTGAACCCCTGACAACAAAAGCCCCAAAGTCAGCCTTAAGCAGTCATAGAAAAAGAATACATTCTCCCTTTTCCCTGATTAAGATGCTAAGTCAAAAGGAAACTCCCTTACATAGGAGACAAAATGGCAATAGATACAAATGTCACTCCCCTAGAAAAACCTGTCAGCTAATGGCTTTTAGGGCCTACCCCTTTGAGCCCCTAGCAGGCAGGACCTATGATTGGGTCCTGTCACTGGTACTTCTAGAAGGGAGAAATGAAGGGACCAGACCCTCACCAAGCCCCCTGCTTTGGCAGCCATAAGAAGCTGCAGAAAAGACCCAGCAAGATGTAGGCCTCTGACTCAGCAACATGTGCTGAGCTCCTAGGAAGTCAGATACCCTCCATGTGGCAAGGAACCAATCAGAAGTTAGCTGGTGGGTTCTGGATGCGCTTTATGGTAACAGTGGAGTGCAGAGCATAGCAACTGCCCTGGGAGGACCTATAGGCCATGGTAACCGGTTGACCAATCAACACAAGACAGGTCACCAAAGTCACCAATCCTAAGACTACTGCGGATCCCAGACACTTTCCTTGCTCTACCCCAATAAATTCCCTGCCCCACAGTCCTTAATTAAAGACTCCTTGATTTTCACTGGATTGGGTCTCTTGGTGATTTGGGGGTTCAAAATTTGGGCACAACAACATGTTTTTTGCTTGAAAGCTCACCTTGAGAAAGGCTCAGTGCTACACTGGGATCCCAAACACCCAATGTAGTCACTGGCATGCTAATAAAGACTTTCTATTGGCCTATACTCATGTCTGAGCAGCCTTCCCTGGTGGCTACCCCACAACATTTTTGTTTGTTTATTTGTTGTTGTTGAGGGTTTTTTGTTTATTTGTCTGTTAAACAGGGTCTCACTGTGTAGTCTTGGCTGGCCAGAAACTCTATGTAGACCAGGTTGGTTTGCCTCTGCCTTCTGAATGCTGGGATTAAAGCCATGTCCCCAAGCCCAGTTTGAATATCAATTTTAAGCATAAAGATTAAGACAAAATGAGAGGCTAGGTGTAGTGGTTCATGCCTTTCATCCCAGCACTTGGGTGGCAGAGGCAAGTAGATCTCTGTGAGTTCAAGGCTATCCTATTCTACATAGTGAGTTCCAGGACAGCCAGGGCTTACATAGTGAAACCCCGTCTCAGGGGGAGGAGGGAGAGAGAGAGAGAGAGAGAGAGAGACTTGGGAGTAGAGAGACAGACAGACAGACTTGAGAGTAGAGGGCTTCTTTATGAGAGTGTCATTCTTCATGGTCACAATGTAGGGTTTTAGTGAGGTTTAAAGCTACTATGTTGAAGTGTTTGCTGAGGAACCTATGTGAGATGGCAGGGTGCTTTCTGAGGGGCACTTAATAGGCTTATAATTGATAAGATCACAGGGATCAGGAAGGTAGGATATCTTTACTATAAAGGAAGTCAACTGTCTTGTCTGGTGAAAGGAATAAGGTCCTCCTACCCGCCATCATACACATACAAGCCTTTACCTGAATTTTGCTACTTTAATGCAAAGGAATAGTATTCCTTTGCCAGCAACTTTCACAGAAAACATTAATTGTGTTGGAATCCTTGCTTCTCAGAAGGTGAGAGGCTCCAACCAGACTCGGGGTAAGGGCCCCTTCTCATCTCCCCATATTTTTCTCTTTCTGTCCTGTCTGTCACACAAAGTCAAGGGAAATTAAGTCCTCAGGCATGCTGGACCCTGGCTACATAAATGGAACAGTTGAATACAGGCTTAGAACGCTCTAGTTTAGCATCATTTCAAGGGGCATCTGACAAAGTTTGGACAGACAGGCTCGGAAAAAATATTGGTTACTTTTCTTTAGCTACTGTTATCATTTCAATGCTGTCAGCTTTCAATCAGGAGATAAGGACACAAAGTATAAAAATAAAGTAAAAAACACAGGGATGGAAATTCTAGAAACAATGCTGATTTTAAAAAAGAATCATATATGTAGATTCTTTCAAGTTTCAGTATGAGTTGAGACACATTAGAAGAACCCCTGAAGCTTTTAAGAGACTTTACTGTGGCTCTGGCCAGGGAACTGGCTGCTGCGGTGGCCGTTCGAGCTGGAAATCAGCCTGTCTGTGACTGGCTGTCTCCCAGGAGAGTGCCCTCAAGAATGGCAGCCTGCCTCTCAGCTCCACATGGTTTTTGCTGCTGTCAGAAACCATGGCAGATTGATAGATGCTCAATCAATGGGGGAGGGAGGAAGTTGGAGGAAAGGCAGGGAGGGAGGACGCAGAATGAGGAGGAAGAGAATATGTGGTCTAAATAGTACTAGGATATTTTTTATAGAAATTTCAAGAAGTAATAAGCACCAAGTTTTCTACTCTCCGGAAGACTCAGGAAATGCCAGCGAGGTTCATCTTGAGCTGCAAGAAAGCCGTGAGGAATGAGCTGACAAGGAAGAAAAGGTAACACGCATGCCTCTAATGCCCACATTCTACCAGCAAAGGCAGGGAGATCTGGAGTTCCAGAACAGCCTTGGCTATACACCACGTGCCGTCGCCAACAAATGAAACAGCCTTGGCTATACACCACGTGCCATTGCAAGCAAATGAAACAGCCTTGGCTATACACCACGTGCCGTCGCAAACAAATGAAACACTCAGCCAGGGACCTAGTTCAGTGGCAGGCACTTGTCTAACATCCACAAGACCCTGGGTTCATTCTCCAGCATTCCAGGGACAGAAATAAAAAAGGAACTTCTTGCAGACGCTTCATCCAGGACTTCCCACAGATTTTTTAGGGATAAAATTGGCTACTAAATTCTTATTTTAACTGACTCTTCGTTCTAAAAAAGCCTCCTAACTTTTTAGAGATACTTTGTGGTTTTAGGAAAGATGAACACTATTTCCCATTCAAGTTTTGTATGAATAAAGACACTGTTCCACTATGACGGGAACTTCAAAGTACTTGGCAAGTAATATTTCTCCCACAACTCAGCTCTTGGGAATGTGGGCGTTATTTTTCTCTTCACTGTTTCCTGTTGTCTGTGGACAAAGTATCTTAAGGGATCCCTGAAAAAGTCCTGGGTAGACCAGTGGCAACCTTTGCTGATAGATATCACCTGTCAAGTTTCAAGACATCTCCCTTGATCAAATCTGATCCATCTCATTCCTGAAGGAATCCACAGGCTCTTGTTTCCTATGGAAACAAGACTCTAAAGCATTTTTGATTTCCATTTGAAAAATACATTATTTTTTAACTTTATGAAGTTTAAGATAGCCCTAAAGTACCCAGGTTGCTTCGATTTTTGCAGTCCTGTTCACAATCCCATGTCTCCCAGAATCTTTCCTTTGCTCATCAACATCCACAAAATTCAAAACCAACTCAGTAGCACACAGGATCCAGACTCCCTGTGTATTTCCCATCTTTACGTGACTTTTTTCTTTTATATTACTTTTATTCCTCTTTAAAGACTTTTATTTTATTTTTTTAAAGCTATGTATTTCTTCCTATAACTGCCTAAAAGATAAGCAACGAAAGAGGTCCAGACAATAAAAACCTCTAAACAGGTTCCAGTGTATTTTACATTGCTTATCTTTTTAGCTTTTTCTGTTCCCGTGAGCAAACTCAGTCTAACAATGGCTCTGCTGGCTTCCCAATGTGTGAGAGCAAAGCCTAAAGCTTGAAGCCCAGAGGGAAGTAGGTGACCAAGAACTGTATTCAACCTTCCTAAAGCTCTAGAATGCTGATGCTTGTACTGCAGCGGGCATTTTTGCTTCGTTCCTATTTAGCATACTGACTGCTCCAGGGCTCACCAGCAGACATAAACTCTTAAGGGAACTGTATACTTTCCCCCTGCTTTCTCAGGCCCTACAGGGACATACAGCTTCACAGTGGTATGCCAAAATGTTGTTACTTGTTTTTTGCTCTTAGCTCTTACTCTTAGGTTATTTGGGGGCCTGCCACCCAGCCCCCAATAAATGCACACACCCAGAGGCTTATTATTACTTATATATGCCTGGCTGTAGCTTGGATTGTTTCTTTTTTGGGGGGTGGGTTTCTCTGTGACTTTGGAGGCCGTCCTGGAACTAGCTCTTGTAGACCAGGCTGGTCTCGAACTCACAAAGATGCTCCTGTGCCGTGCGCCACCAGCGCCCGGCAGCTTGGCTTGTTTCTTGCTAGTTTTTCTTAAATTATCCCAACTACCTTTTGAGAATGGCAAAGCCTGGTCCCAGCCTGGGGGAGCCTTTGTGTCCCATCACAGCTGCCTCCACCTAGGGAAATAAATGTTTTATTTTACCAATAAAAACTCGGGAGCCAGATGCTGGGGTGAAAATCTACTAGCTCAGAGAGGCAGAGGAAGCAGCCAGCTGGCCTTCTTCATCTGCCATTGTCCCAGAAAGAGAGCTTCTCTTCCGCTGTCCCAAACCAAAAGGGACCCCAAACTCAAAGTCCTGCTCAAAGTCCCTCCCTACTACTTCCTGCGTGTCTGTCTATCCATCATCTTCCTGACTCCCTCTTACTCTCTGTGGCTACTTCCCGGTAACTAGTTGCTTGCTCTGCCTCTTTTCCTATGGTTGACTTTATTTAATCCTGTTTACAATAAACGGAAAGCTCTTGGATTAAGGGTGTGTACTAGGGCTGTGGCACACCATGACTAGTGGCAGGTTTTTCCAGTAAATAAGGCAATCTCAGGGTTCACAGTTCAATCCCTGAAAAATTGGACTAGCTGGACCATAGCCTGGAAACCATTCTAATAAATCCCCTTTATAAGTTCTGTTCCTCTACAGAATCCTGATTCATACAACGCCAGAGCAAAAGAGTCAAGAGCCTTCAATACTCCAGCCACGCCAGATGTCGTAGTTACTATTCTGTCACTAAGAGGAGACACTATGACCAAGGCAGCTTCTAAAAGAAGGAATTTAATTGGGGACTTGCCTAAAGTTTCACAATGAGGGGCATGGCAGCAGGCAGGCAGGCATGGTGCCGGAGCAGTAGCTGAGAATTTACATCCTGATACGCAGGCAGTAGGCAGAGAGCAAAAACTGGGCTGGTCATGGGAGTTTGAAACCTCAGAGTCCACCCCTGGTGACATATCTTTTCCGATAAGGCCACAGCTTTTTAATTATCCTAAACAGTTCACTAACTAGGAACCAAGCATTCAAATATGCGAGCCTATGGGGGTTATTCTCACTCAAACCACACCAGGTGAGAGGCCAGACTTGTAAATGACAATTTTGGATTGTTCAGCCTAGATGTGAAGCTCATATAACACAGCAGACAGACTTGCTATTGTAACTGAATCCTACACAACCAATCATAGGAACGATGACTGCTGTTTAAAACCATGGACATTTGAGTTAACTGATGGCCATATGCCAGTCCACATGAGGAAAATGAATTGGAGGGTATTGTATGACACTATACTTGAGGAGACATCTACTTACCCCAGAAAGGGAGCTGATGATAGACTAGTGTAAGGATATTAATAATGTCCACCATGGTGAACCAATGAGTTTTATTGGGGCTACATACAGAAGTATGGGTGAGGGATTACAGGAGCAGAAATTACTCAAAGACAGCTGCATCACTAAAAAACCACGCCAGCATGGGTGAGAGCTCACAGAATCTGTATGTCTGGAGCTCACTGCAGGAC